TCATTGTTATTCTCTTTGAAACCAGGATTACTCCCTCAAGGTGTTTTTCTAGCGTTGAAATAAAAGTACCTCCCTGGGGTATTCTGCTTTTGAACCCCGGATGACCTCATCTAGGTTTTTCTCGTTGAACACCAGGTATCCCTAACCTAGGTTTTTATCTGCGGAACACCGGGTGATCCCCTCTAGGGGGGTATTCTAGTGTTGAAACTAGGATAAACAATCTAGGTTATTTGTGGAACACTAGGTGACCCTCACCGGTGGATTCTAGTGTTAACACTAGATACACCCACTAGGTGGTATTCTATTTTAAACCCTAGGTTAAACCCACTCTGGTTATTCTATGTTAAACATGGGAAACCTCACTCTAGGTATTCTAGTTTGAAACACGGATGCACCTCCTCTGGTGGTTTCTGTTTGAACACTGGGATGATCCTCCCCGGTGTTATTGTGGAACCTAGGATGACACCTCATTGGGGGGTTTCTAGTGTTGAACCTGGAGATCCTCACCTAGGGGGTATTTAGTGTTAACACGGGTTCACCTCACTCAAGGTTTATTCTGGTTTTGCCCACTAGGATACACCCACTCTGGGTGGAAATTTCAGTTTTGAACACCGGATGACCCCTCCTCGGGTAAATTTGTTTGAACACTGTGCACCTCCCCTTAGGGGTTCAGTGTTAACACTAGGAACCCTCCCAAGGTTTTCTTTTTTTTGAAACTGGTCACCTCACTCTAGGTGTTTTCAAGTTTTGAACACTAGGATGACCCTCACCTAGGGGGTTTTTCAGGATGTACCTCACCTGGTGGTATTCTAGTTTTTTAAAAAACACTAGGTGCCCTCACTCTGGGTTTTTTCTGTGTTGAACACTAGGATGACCCTCATTGGTGGTTTCTGGGGTTTGAACACTGGGATGCACCTCATTAGGTGGAAATTCTAGGATGTCCCTCACTCTAGGGGTATTCTGTGTTGAACACTGGGATCACCCACTCGGGTTATTCTAGTGTTAACACGGGAAAAAACCCCTCGGTGGTTTCAGTGTTTAACACTGTTACACCTCACTTAGGTGGTATTCTATTTTGAACCTAGGATACACCTCCTCGGGGGGTATTCTAGTTTAAAAACATGGGAAAAGAACCTCACTTAGGTGGTTTTTAGTTTTAAAACACTAGGATGACCCCTCACTCTGGGTTTTTTCATGTTGAACACTGGAGAACCCACTTAGGTGGTATTTAGTTTTGAACACCGGGAGACACCTCACCTAGGTGAAATCAGTGTTGAAAAAAGGATGAACCCACCTGGGTGGTATTCTGTGTTGAAAACCAGGATGACACCACTCTGGTTATTCATGTTGAACCGGGACACCTCATTGGGGGTTTTTTCAGTTTGAACACTAGGAGACACCTCCCCTTTAGGTGGTAAAAGGTGATACCTCACTCTGGGGGTTTTTTATTTAAACCTAGGATGACCCTACTTGGTTTTCAGTGTAAACACCGGAGATACCTCCCTAGGTTTATTTGCTTTTGAACACCAGGATCCTCATCTAGGGGGTATTTATTTTGAAAACTAGGAAACACCTCACTCGGGTGGATTCTATTTTGAACACTGGGTTTACACCCCTTGGTGAAATTCTGTGTTGAACACTGGATACACCTCACTCGGTGGTTTCTAGGATGATAACCCCTCGTGGTATTCGTGTTTAACCTGGGAATGACCCCTACTCTAGGTATTCAGGATGATACCTACTTAGGAGGTTTTTAAGTGTTGAACACTGGTGCCCTCACCTGTGGTTTCTAGTGTTGAAATGGATAAACCCACCGGGGTTTTGTTTAAAACACCGGGAGACACCTCACCTAGGGGGGATTCGTTTTGAACACGGATGACCTCACTCTAGGTGGTATTCTAGTGTTGAACACAGTTGAACACCTATCTAGGGGGATTCTGTGTTAAACACTAGTGATCCCTCATTAGGGGGTTTATTCTATGTTAAACACTAGTGACCCCTCACTTAGGGGGTTTTCTGTTTTAATGGGAGCACCTCACTCAGGTGTTTCTAGTGTTAAACACTGGGATGAAACCTCACTTGGTTTTCTGTGTTAACACGTGCCCCCCCACTCTTGTTATCTGTGTTGAACACAGGTGACACCCTACCAAGGTGTAATTCTAGGTTAACACGGGGATACCCTCACTCAGGTGTTTTTCTGTGTTGTCTGGATGACCCCCCTTTTTCCTCCATCCTACTGTTTCTGCAAACTTCCCCGTACTCGCGAAGAACACTAGTGCGGGCGAAACTTTCGGAATAAAGAACCAAAGTTGCAATGTCTTACTTTAAACCTTCGACATTAAACCAAAATATCGCGTTTCAGTGTTCCCCGGGGGTGACGTTAACTAGCAGGTGACGAAAGATGCGTAAAAAACTTGGATGAAATGGGATAATTTATTAGGGTGGCAACTTTACACTGGGGGGGCTTGTTAAGGGAAATTTAGTTAAGTTTTTACATAAAAATGGTTTTTAGGGAAAAAAAAGGATTATTTACTTAAAAAATCCTGAGTGTAAAAAAGTGTTTGTCTACAGTTAAAATTTGGCTTTGAAATTTATTTCTTGATGTTAGATACTTGGGCAACATTTGGGGAAATTGAAATTGGGGAAAAGGCCCCTCGCCCCAGTGGTTTCTCATCCAATACAGAAAAAATGGTAGAAGTTCAAAAAAGGGTTAAGGTAATCGTCCCTCCCTGGATCGATGTGTTCGCTCCATTTTAAAAACTGAGGTGAACACATCACTCTAGGCTGAGGGATGTTTCCCCTAATTCCCGGGAAGCCATTCTTCTCGTATTGGACTGATAAAGCCACTGGGGGCAAACCGTTTCCGCAGCAAAGATACCCCAGTGTTGTACAAGTGTTTAATTCATCACCCTGTCGGTTCTAGGAACCAGTTACCTTCATTACTGTCTTCATTATTCTCAACATCGGCCATTTAGGTGTAGGTTGGAGGTGTGTCTGTGAGACTTACCTGTACGTCTGTGAGACTTACCTGTACGTCTGTGAGACTTACCTGTACGTCTGTGAGACTTACCTGTACGTCTGTGAGACTTACCTGTACGTCTGTGAGACTTACCTGTTCGTCTGTGAGACTTACCTGTACGTCTGTGAGACTTACCTGTACGTCTGTGAGACTTACCTGTACGTCTGTGAGACTTACCTTTTCGTCTTGAGACTTACCTGTACGTCTGTGAGACTTACCTGTACGTCTGTGAGACTTACCTGTACGTCTGTGAGACTTACCTGTACGTCTGTGAGACTTACCTGTACGTCTGTGAGACTTACCTGTTCGTCTGTGAGACTTACCTGTACGTCTGTGAGACTTACCTGTACGTCTGTGAGACTTACCTGTACGTCTGTGAGACTTACCTGTACGTCTGTGTAGACTTACCTGTACGTCTGTGAGACTTACCTGTTCGTCTGTGAGACTTACCTGTACGTCTGTGAGACTTACCTGTACGTCTGTGAGACTTACCTGTACGTCTGTGAGACTTACCTGTTCGTCTGTGAGACTTACCTGTACGTCTGTGAGACTTGTACGTCTGTGAGACTTACCTGTACGTCTGTGAGACTTACCTGTACGTCTGTGAGACTTACTTGTACGTCTGTGAGACTTACCTGTACGTCTGTGAGACTTACCTGTTCGTCTGTGAGACTTACCTGTACGTCTGTGAGACTTACCTGTACGTCTGTGAGACTTACCTGTACGTCTGTGAGACTTACCTGTACGTCTGTGAGACTTACCTGTTTCGTCTGTGAGACTTACCTGTACGTCTGTGAGACTTACTGTACGTCTGTGAGGACTTACCTGTACGTCTGTGAGACTTACCTGTACGTCTGTGAGACTTACCTGTACGTCTGTGAGACTTACCTGTTCGTTGTGAGACTTACCTGTACGTCTGTGAGACTTACCTGTACGTCTGTGAGACTTACCTGTACGTCTGTGAGACTTACCTGTTCGTCTGTGAGACTTACCTGTACGTCTGTGAGACTTGTACGTCTGTGAGACTTACCTGTACGTCTGTGAGACTTACCTGTACGTCTGTGAGACTTACCTGTACGTCTGTGAACTTACCTTACGTCTGTGAGACTTACCTGTTCGTCTGTGAGACATACCTGTACGTCTGTGAGACTTGTACGTCTGTGAGATTTTACCTGCACGTCTGTGAGACTCACCTGTACGTCTGTGAGACTTACCGGTACGTCTGTGAGACTTACCTGTACGTCTGTGAGACTTACCTGTACGTCTGTGAGACTTACCTGTACGTCTGTGAGACTTACCTGTACGTCTGTGAGACTTACCTGTACGTCTGTGAGACTTACCTGTACGTCTGTGAGACTTACCTGTGCGTCTGCGAGACTTACCTGTGCGTCTGTGAGACTTACCTGTACGTCTGTGAGACTTACCTGTACGTCTGTAAGACTTACCTGTACGTCTGTGAGACTTACCTGTACGTCTGTGAGACTTACCTGTACGTCTGTGAGACTTACCTGTACGTCTGTGAGACTTACCTGTACGTCTGTGAGACTTACCTGTGCGTCTGTGAGACTGACATGTACGTCTGTGAGACTTACCTGTACGTCTGTGAGACTTACCTGTACGTCTGTGAGACTTACCTGTACGTCTGTAAGACTTACCTGTACGTCTGTGAGACTTACCTGTACGTCTGTGAGACTTACCTGTACGTCTGTGAGACTTACCTGTACGTCTGTGAGACTTACGTGTACGTCTGTGAGACTTACCTGTACGTCTGTGAGACTTACCTGTACGTCTGTGAGACTTACGTGTACGTCTGTGAGACTTACCTGTACGTCTGCGAGACTTACCTGTACGTCTGTGAGACTTACCTGTACGTCTGTGAGATTTACCTGTACGTCTGTGAGACTTACCTGTACGTCTGTGAGACTTACCTGTACGTCTGTGAGACTTACCTGTACGTCTGTGAGACTTACCTGTACGTCTGTGAGACTTACCTGTACGTCTGTGAGACTTACCTGTACGTCTGTGAGACTTACCTGTACGTCTGAGGGCTAGAGATGAAGTCGTCACTCTCACTGAAGATGTTATGGTCTCCCAGACGAACACTAAACTGTTGTGGGTCGAACCTGTAATTGTACATGACTTATTAATTCATGGCACTACCACTACACCCTTATACACTCAAACTGATCCTGATACCACCATTCTCCCTCCAGAAGAGTTTTGTTCACCCGTATACCCTCATATCAAATATTTTCATTACTATGACTCAGGCAACCAGCCTCTGACTGTTAGGACTCACTTGCCATGGGATCAAACCCCACCAGTTCCCAGGGGATTTACTCTACCTTTACACCCTCACACTACCACAAACATACCCTCACACTACCACAAACATACCCTCATACTACCACAAACATACCCTCACACTACCACAAACATACCCTCACACTACCACAAACATACCCTCACACTACCACAAACATACCCTCACACTAACCACAAACATACCCTCACACTACCACAAACATACCCTACACTACCAAAACATACCCTCACACTACCACCAAACATACCCTCACACTACCACAAACATACCCACACTACCACAAACATACCCTCACACTACCACAAACACACCCTCACACTACACAAACATACCTCACACTACCACAAACATACCCTCACACTACCACAAACATACCCCCACACTACCACAAACATACCCTCACACTACCACAAACATACCTCACATCCTACCACAAACATACCCTTACACTACCACAAACAAACCCTCACACTACCGCAAAAACATACCCTCACACTAACCACAAACATACCCTCACACTACCAACAAACATACCCTCACACACTACACAAACATACCCTTACACTACCACAAACATACCCTCACACTACCACAAACATACCCTCACACTACCACAAAACATACCCTTACACTACACAAACATACCCTCACACTACCGCAAACATACCCTCACACTACCACAAACATACCCTCACACTACCACAAACATACCCTCACACTACCACAAACATACCCTTACACTACCACAAACATACCCTCACACTACCACAAACATACCCTCACACTACCACAAACATACCTCACACTACCAACAAACATACCCTCACACTACCACAAACATACCCTCACACTACCGCAAACATACCCTCACACTACCACAAACATACCCTTACACTACCACAAACATACCCTCACACTACCACAAACATACCCTCACACTACCACAAACATACCCTCACACTACCACAAACATACCTTCACACTACCACAAACATACCCTCACACTACCACAAACATACCCTTACACTACCACAAACATACCCTCACACTACCACAAACATACCCTCACACTACCACAAACATACCCTTACACTACCACAAACATACCCTCACACTAACCACAACATACCCTCACACTACCACAAACATACCCTCACACTACCACAACATACCCTCACACTACCACAAACATACCCTCACACTACCACAAACATACCCTCACACTACCACAAACATACCCTCACACTACCACAAACATACCCTCACACTACCACAAACATACCCTCACACTACCACAAACATACCCCACACTACCACAAACATACCCTCACACTACCACAAACATACCCTCACACTACCACAAAATACCCTTACACTACCACAAACATACCCTCACACATACCACAAACATACCTCACACTACCACAAACATACCCTCACACTACCACAAACTACCCTCACACTACCACAAACATACCCTCACACTACCACAAACATACCTTACACTACCACAAACATACCCTCACACTACCACAAACATACCCTCACACTACCACAAACATACATACCCTCACACTACCGCAAACATACCCTCACACTACCGCAAACATACCCTCACACTACCGCAAACATACCCTCACACTACCGCAAACATACCCTCACACTACCGCAAACAACCCTCACACTACCACAAACATAACCCTCACACTACCGCAAACATACCCTCACACTACCACAAAACATACCCTCACACTACCACAAACATACCCTCACACTACCGCAAACATACCCTCACACTACCGCAAACATACCCTCACACTACCACAAACATACCCTCACACTACCACAAAACATACCCTCACACTACCACAAACATACCTCACACTACCGCAAACATACCCTCACACTACCGCAAACATACCCTCACACTACCACAAACATACCCTCACACTACCGCAAACATACCCTCACACTACCACAAACATACCCTCACACTACCGCAAACATACCCTCACACTACCACAAACATACCCTCACACTACCACAACATACCCTCACACTACCACAAACATCCCTCACACTACCACAACATACCCTCACACTACCACAAACATACCCTCACACTACCACAAACATACCCTCACACTCCGCAAACATACCCTCACACTACCATAAACATACCCTCACACTACCGCAAACATACCCTCACCACTACCACAAACATACCCTCACACTACCACAAACATACCCTCACACTACCACAAACATACCCTCACACTACCACAAACATACCCTCACACTACCGCAAACATACCCTCACACTACCGCAAACATACCCTCACACTACCGCAAACATACCCTCACACTTAAAAACCTTCCAGAATCACACACTCCCTGTGCACTCCTATCTTTCTCCCCCTGGAACTCAACTTGCTCCTGGCACTCAAGACTTGCTTCCAGTGCTTATGAATTTTCTTCGCCACCCGTAGTTTGTTCCTGGCACTTAAGTCTTGGTTTCGTCACCTTTCCTCTGGCACTTACAACTTGTTCCTTATACTCAAGGCTTGCCCTCAATATTTTCATTGTTTCCTGGCACACAGAACTTTCTTCTTGAACTCACATCCTTACCCTGACACTCACCACTTGTCTCTGGTACCCCTTCCCCTGACACCACTTGTCTCTGGTACCCCTTCCCCTGACACCACTAGTCTCTGGTACCCCTTCCCCTGACACCACTAGTCTCTGGTACCCCTTCCCCTGACACCACTAGTCTCTGGTACCCCTTCCCCTGACCACTAGTCTCTGGTACCCCTTCCCCTGATACCACTAGTCTCTGGTACCCCTTCCCCTGACACCACTTGTCTCTGGTACCCCTTCCCCTGACACCACTAGTCTCTGGTACCCCTTCCCCTGACACCACTTGTCTCTGGTACCCCTTCCCCTGACACCACTAGTCTCTGGTACCCCTTGCCCTGAACCATAGTCTCTGGTACCCCTTCCCCTGACACCACTAGTCTCTGGTACCCCTTCCCCTGACACCACTAGTCTCTGGTACCCCTTCCCCTGACACCACTAGTCTCTGGTACCCCTTCCCCTGACACCACTAGTCTCTGGTACCCCTTCCCCTGACACCACTAGTCTCTGGTACCCTTCCTCTGACACCACTAGTCCCTGGAAACCCCTTCCCCTGACACCACTAGTCCCTGGTACCCCTTCCCCTGACACCACTAGTCCCTGGTACCCCTTCCCCTGACACCACTAGTCCCTGGTACCCCTTCCCCTGACACCACTAGTCCTGGAAACCCCTTCCCCTGACACCACTTGTCTCTGGTACCCCTTTCCCTGACACCACTAGTCTCTGGTACCCCTTGCCCTGACACCACTAGTCTCTGGTACCCCTTCCCCTGACACCACTAGTCTCTGGTACCCCTTCCCCTGACACCACTTGTCTCTGGTACCCCTTCCCCTGACACCACTAGTCTCTGGTACCCCTTGCCCTGACACCACTAGTCTCTGGTACCCCTTGCCCTGACACCACTAGTCTCTGGTACCCCTTCCCCTGACACCACTTGTCTCTGGTACCCCTTCCCCTGACACCACTAGTCTCTTTTACCCCTTCCCCTGACACCACTAGTCCCTGGTACCCCTTCCCCTGACACCACTAGTCCCTGGTACCCCTTCCTCTGACACCACTAGTCCCTGGTACCCTTCCCCTGACACCACTAGTCCCTGGTACCACCTTCCCCTGACACCACTAGTCCCTGGTACCCCCTTCCCCTGACACCACTAGTCCCTGGTACCCCTTTCCCCCTGACACCACTAGTCCCTGGTACCCCTTCCCCTGACACCACTAGTCCCTGGTACCCCTTCCCCTGACACCACTAGTCCCTGGTACCCCTTCCCCTGACACCACTAGTCTCTTTTACCCCTTCCCCTGACACCACTAGTCCCTGGTACCCCTTCCCCTGACACCACTAGTCCCTGGTACCCCTTCCCCTGACACCACTAGTCCCTGGTACCCCCTTCCCCTGACACCCACTAGTCCCTGGTACCCCTTCCCCTGACACCACTAGTCCCTGGTACCCCTTCCCCTGACACCACTAGTCCCTGGTACCCCTTCTCCTGAAACTAGTACTCGCGTGTCATTATAATGATGATATACAATATTCTCAAGTAGACGAGTAGGACACATGTACAACAGTTGAATATTTCCATTGTTGAAACGTTTTCGCGAATACAGTCTGAATACAGACGTGATGAGTCTTTAAGCCTTCAAGAAGTTTTGAGGTGGTCAGTCCCTCAGAACAGTGTTCTGATGACGACAATACCAAACTGTTGCACATGTGTCTTACTGATCAAGTACTTACGTCTTTCCTCTGGAATCCTTGGTACAGTGAGCAGCAGTGAGGACGTACTGGCGCGACACCAAGGACCCACCACACCAGAACTCTGTCTTCTTGGGTCCATGAAGCCATATGGCAGCCATCCAGGGCCACTGACCACGTCGAGACTCCTCTCCACCCACCACCCTGAAGGTCGGGACCCTGGGGATGCCACACTCTGTAGACAATGTATTTACAAGCGTGGTTAGAGTATGGCAGGTGTAGAATGTTGAGATGTTTAAAAGTATTTAGAACATTCTTAACATTATTATCAGGGGAAGGCCCCCCGTAGGGGTTATACGCCCCCGGGGAATGAGAGATAATCTAAAAACCACATGGATAAAAGCATTTTGTTTTTTTTGAGTTACCCCGGGTTTTCTTCATATGTGCTATGTTGATAATCTATGTAACTGTATTGTGATATCTTTCAGTAGAGAGTGTGAAGAGGAATATCGGTGGGTTACTTTTTTTTGGATACAGAATGAGATTCATGTTTTTGGATAAGTGAGATTCTGTTTGGGATACAGAAAGAGATTACATGTTTTTGGGTAAGAATGAGATTAAATGTTTTTGGATACAGAAAGGATTTAAAGTTGTGGATACAGAATGAGATTTATGTTTGTGGTTTCAGAAAGAGATTAATGTTTGTAGTACGAAGAGTTATATGTTTGTGGTACGAATGAGATTACATGTTTGTGGATACAGAATGAGTATATGTTTGTGGTACAGAATGGTTATATGTTTGGGATCAGAATGAGTTACAGTTTTTGGTACAGAAGAGATTTATGTTTGTGGATTCAGAAAGAGATTTCATGTTTTTTGGGTACGAATGGAATTACATGTTTGTGGATACAGAATGAGATTAATGTTTGTGGATACAGAATGAAGATTTATATGTTTGTGGATACAAAATTTGAGATTACATGTTTGTAGATACAGAATGAGATTATATGTTTGTGGATACAGAATGAGATTACATGTTTGTGGATACAGAATGAGATTATATGTTTGTGGATACAGAATGAGATTATATGTTTGTGGATACAGAATGAGATTACATGTTTGTGGATACAGAATGAGATTATATGTTTGTGGATACAGAATGAGATTACATGTTTGTGGATACAGAATGAGATTACATGTTTGTGGATACAGGACTCTGTCTTCCTGGTGTCCCGTCTTCAGTATTTATCACATAATTTATTATACAGTTATCATATAATTATATGATATATATAATATATTTATATTATATAATATTTATCATATATTTATAATATAATTTTTTTTTATTTTTATTCCAGTTCATAATTGTGGCATGTTTTGACTACTTGGTTCGGTAAGATTTGTCAGGGAACAGGACAAGTGTTTCCTGACGCGGGTCTTGGTCATGTGATGACCCACAGCTGGAGCTTTTGGTCATTTAACCGAGACCTTCCACTGGCTTACCCCTGCCAGCGTGTCAGCGTGCCTCGTTGTGCTCCGGGTTTTCTGGTGTTTTCACGGTCGCTCTTACGTGCTAGAACTTTAATTTGTGCCATCAATCCTATACGATACATCTCTCTAGCGCCTGGAACCAATCTTGGGCGGAAAACATTATATACTGAGTCAAAAAAGGAGAATTAGTGTGCACTGCGTAGCAGAGTTTACTGCCAGAGGGGAATCATAGGCCTGTGTCCCGTGTGGAAAAAAATAATAATAATTGAACTTTTCATGTCAGAGGAAAGAAAGTCTCCTGATAACATTGAGTATACTTTGGGGTATAGTGTATACTACAGTGGCCCCCTAGTATTTTGATGATAAAGGCTAAAGGTCATTTGAAAACAGGTGAATTTGTAAATGAAGTGATAAGCTATAGAGGAAGGTGCCAGAAGTCGCCAGAAACTTACCACAGGTCAGCTTTTTTTAAATTTAATTTCTTCCTGGCCTGCTAGTGTACTCGCATAAAATCTAGTGTACCAGTGAATAGCAGAATACAGTGTTGTAGTAGCAACTAACCAGTATTATAATGGTACTTAGTGGAGTGGAGTGACTTTCATTATTTTCTTTTCTTGAAATACGAGACGTTACTGTGAATTTCATATAACCGTAGTTCCCCGCGGTCGCATTTTTCACAACGAGAAGCAATTATTACTACAGAAAAAGCGTCCTTCCTCCAAAATTTGCACCAGTCAACTATAGTGATAATTAGCATTTATTGCGGTGGAGACGGAAAAAAAAAAATAAGAAAGCCAGATACAGCGTTTGATAAACAAGGAGGTGACCGTTCGTCATTGTAGGAGCTGCCAGATATCACCGGCTCTTCAACACGCAAGTCAAATCAATATTACTCGGGTAGATAATTTCCAGTAGATCCTTCATGTGTTAGCTCAAATCACCGACCAGTATGTTTTAAAAAAGTGACCCACTGATCAGAGCAGATCGACTGGTCGGACCCTGACGGGTCCGAACCCTTGACTGGTCCGAACCCGGGACTGGTTTCAAACAGTTTCGTGGCAATAAGCAGACTGTAAACGGTTTGGGGTTGTAGGCGCCCTTATAAAACAAACATTAAAAATCAGGAACGTGAGGGTTTAAGCTGTCCAATATAAAAAAAAGAGTTAGAAACAGAAATACAAATAGTAGAGCTTCATTTAAGGTTATTAATATAATATTCAAGAGGTTGCTAGTAGAATTGCAGTAAATCAACCATTCAAATCATTATGAAGCTGTGTGTAGTCTGTGACAGTCAAACAAACGGGTTCCACATGGATAAATTGTCATTTTTGGGGAAAATTGGGTGTCAGCCCTTGTGCAGATATCCCAGAACTAGCTAAAGCAGTATTAAAACAGAGAAGTGTTCTGGGTATGCCCAAATGAGGAAAATCTGTGGACTAAAATCACAAGGGTATTAAAAGGGACAACATCAAAGCTGCTTTCATAGAAAACCTGGAAGCTTTCTACAACAGATGGGAACATAAAAAGTCTGGGCTGAATGGTACTGCCTTGATACTGGCCATGTAGTCACAAACTGTAAGGCTGGAGGTGATGTCCTGGGAGACAGTAATAGTAAAGCTGGAGGTGCTGTCCTGGGAGACAGTAATGGTGAAGCTGGAGGTGCTGTCCTGGGAGACAGAAATGGTGAAGCTGGAGATACTGTCCCGGGAGACAGTAATGGTGAAGCTGGAGATTTTGTCCAGGGAGTCGGGAATTATACGCAGGAAAGGGAAAACATATAAAAAGACCTCATAGGGGACAGGAGCCTAGTAGGGAAAAAAAGTGTAGTCAAAAATAAGATAAAACCAATATTGCAAACTAGAAATACCGCAGGAAAAAGCAAACAAGAGGACTCCAATAGCAAAAGTGAGGATAAATTACCAAAACAACTGGTGGGAGCTCCATTGTTGGTGCTAGGGAGGATAGAAGTAAGACAGGGAAACATGCACCAACAGGGAATACAGTCACAGAAACCCCAAAGGGAGCGGAAACCCAAGCCTGTGCAATACTATGCACTTGGTATCTGCTGGCATGGGAAAACTGGAAAAAAAAGATGGGACGTGCAAAATATGACCACCCTAGAAAATGCCATTCCCATAGGACAAAGGAAAATGCAAAATCCCTTCCCGTAAGCTTTTTCACCCTGAAATTGTGTACCTCTTCAGTACAGGAAAGACTGTGCTATAACTTAAATTGCCAGGCATACCCTCTAAAAGGGACAAAAAGATACAAAACATCCCGGCCATGGGAAAAAACCCGGGTAGCCCCAGCCAACTCAAGAGGGAGAGGTTTTTTAGTGCAGGAAGAAAAAAAATGGCAGGAAATGGCAGAAATCGTACACCAAATCCCGTCATTCCATGGAGTGGAAACCCCCAGTCGATGGCCTCCCCCTCCAAACCCAAAAGATCAGATACTAAGGGCCGGGAAAAAAAATCCCCCCCCAGTACCAACAATACCCCCAGTCCGACAACATTCTTCTTTGCAAAATACAGGGTCTAAAGCCCGCAACAAACAACAAAATACCTTTCATCCGTGGACTGCTTGCAGAGGCAAAGGCAATGTTCGCGGCTTTCACTGAGACCCACATAAAGGATCACTTGGACAATGAAATATGGATCCAGGTTACAACCTATACAGATGTGACGAGTGAACAGGCAAAAGGGGGGGGTTGGCCTGTACATTTCAAAGTCACTTGTTTGCACAGAACTGCTTAATGCCTCAAATGGGCGTAGTGGAAGTTTAGCAGTAAAGGTCGTGAAAAAAAAACCTGTCATTGTGGTAGTCTACAAGCCTCCGGATGCAACATCCAGCAATTCCAGGAAAAAGCTGTTAAAAATTGACCACTGTCTGGAAAATCTTCCAGCTCCTGCACCCAACATCTTGCTCCTGGGGGATTTCAACTTAAGGCACCTAAATGGAGGAATATAGCAAATAATATTGTTGCAGTAATAACACCAGGAGGCAGCTCTGATGAAACTCACACTCACACGAGCTTTTAAATCTCTGCACAAAATTCAATTTAAACCAGCAAATAATAGAGCCTACTAGACTGGAGAATACACTAGACCTCATATTCACTAACAATGATGATCTGATAAGAAATGTCACCATATCAAAAAAAAATATACTCAGATCACAACATAATTGAGGTTCAGACATGTATGCGAGGAGCCCCAGACCGACAAAATGAGACTAGTCACGAGGGAGCATTCACCAAATTCAACTTCAATAACAAAAACATAAAGTGGGACCAAGGTAAACCAAGTCCTAACCGATATAAGTGGGAAGATATACTAAGCAACACAGACCCAAACTTATGCCTAGAACAAGATTAACTCGGTGGCACTCGATGTATGCACAAGGCTTATTCCTCTAAGAAAAAGGAGGAGTAGATGTAAAATAGAAAGAGACAGGCGCTCCCTTTACAGGCGACGGAAAAGAATAACAGAGCGGCTAAAAGAGGTCAATATATCTGAAATGCGCAGGGAGACACTGGTCAGAGAAATAGCAAGCATCGAACTTAAGCTAAAAGAATCCTTTAGGAGTCAGGAATCGCGGGAAGAACTAAAAGCTATAAATGAAATCGAAAGAAACCCAAAGTATTTCTTCTCCTATGCCAAATCAAAATCGAGAACAACGCCAGTATTGGGCCCCTACTTAAACAAGATGGGTCCTACACAGATGACAGCAAGGAAATGAGTGAGCTACTCAAGTCCCAATATGACTCAGTTTTTAGCAAGCCGCTAACCAGACTGAGAGTCGAAGATCAAAATGAATTTTTTATGAGAGAGGCACAAAATTTGATTAACACAAGCCTATCCGATGTTATCCTGACGCCAAATGACTTCGAACAGGCGATATATGACATGCCCATGCACTCTGCCCCAGGGCCAGACTCATGGAACTCTGTGTTCATCAAGAACAAGAAGCCCTATCACGAGCCTTTTCCATCTATGGAGAGGGAGCATGGACACGGGGGTCGTCCCTCAGTTACTAAAAAACAACAGACATAGCCCCACTCCACAAAGGGGGCAGTAAAGCAACAGCAAAGAACTACAGACCAATAGCACTAACATCCCATATCATAAAAATCTTTGAAAGGGTCCTAAGAAGCAAGATCACCCCCCATCTAGAAACCCCTCAGTTACACAACCCAGGGCAAAAATGGGTTTAGAACAGGTCGTCCTGTCTGTCTCAACTACTGGATCACTACGACAAGGTCCTAAATGCACTAGAAGACAAAAAGAATGCAGATGTAATATATACAGACTTTGCAAAAGCCTTCGACAAGTGTGACCATGGCGTAATAGCGCACAAAATGCGCGCTAAGGAATAACAGGAAAAGTCGGTCGATGGATCTTTTAATTTCCTCACTAACAGAACACAGAGAGTAGTCGTCAACAGAGTAAAGTCCGAGGCAGCTACGGTGAAAAGCTCTGTTCCACAAGGCACAGTACTAGCTCCCATCTTGTTCCTCATCCTCATATCCGACATAGACAAGGATGTCAGCCACAGCACCGTGTCTTCCTTTGCAGATGACACCCGAATCTGCATGACAGTGTCTTCATTGCAGACACTGCAAGGCTCCAGGCGGACATCAACCAAATCTTTCAGTGGGCTGCAGAAAACAATATGAAGTTCAACGATGAGAAATTTCAATTACTCAGATATGGTAAACATGAGGAAATTAAATCTTCATCAGAGTACAAAACAAATTCTGGCCACGAAATAGAGCGAAACACCAACGTCAAAGACCTGGGAGTGATTATGTCGGAGGATCTCACCTTCAAGGACCATAACATTGTATCAATCGCATCTGCTAGAAAAATGACAGGATGGATAATGAGAACCTTCAAAACTAGGGAGGCCAAGCCCATGATGACATCTTCAGGTCACTTGTTTCTATCTAGGCTGGAATATTGCTGCACTCTAACAGCACCTTTCAAGGCAGGTGAAATTGCCGACCTAGAAAATGTACAGAGAACTTTCACGGCGCGCATAACGGAGATAAAAACACCTCAATTACTGGGAGCGCTTGAGGTTTCTAAACCTGTATTCCCTGGAACGCAGGAGGGAGAGATACATGATTATATACACCTGGAAAATCCTAGAGGGACTAGTACCGAACTTGCACACGAAAATCACTCACTACGAAAGCAAAAAACTTGGCAGACGATGCACCATCCCCCCAATGAAAAGCAGGGGTGTCACTAGCACGTTAAGAGACCATACAATAAGTGTCAGGGGCCCCGAGACTGTTCAACTGCCTCCCAGCACACATAAGGGGGATTACCAACAGACCCCTGGCAGTCTTCAAGCTGGCACTGGACAAGCACCTAAAGTCAGTTCCTGATCAGCCGGGCTGTGGCTCGTACGTTGGTTTGCGTGCAGCCAGCAGCAACAGCCTGGTTGATCAGGCGCTGATCCACCAGGAGGCCTGGTCACAGACCGGGCCGCGGGGGCGTTGACCCCCGAAACTCTCTCCAGGTAAACTCCAGGTAAACTCCACCCCTTCAAAACATATGGTTCTGACTTCCGCTCACAGGATGGGTATGTGGTACACTCTACAGACCGCGGTTCATGCTCCCGGTTCATCTTTCTGTTTGTTCATTGAAATTTGTTTATTGCAACTTAATCTAAGTTCATATTAAACTAATTTGTTTTCCCTGTTGACGAGACTAAGGAGTTATCTTCATATATTGTATCTTACTGTTGTTGTTATTGGTCAGGAAACAGGACAAATAACTCCTGACGCGCCTCTTTATTAATTAGATGACTCTCAGTTTTGTGTCTTACTAAGTTAGATAATAAAGGAATAACAGGAAAAGTGGGTAGATGGATCTATAACTTCCTAACAAACAGAATACAAAGAGTAATAGTAAACAGAGTCAAGTTTGTAGATGAATGGTTAAGAAAACCGACATGTTGATAAATTAGACACATGTGCAACTCTTGGGTATCTTTACTGAGGAAACGTTTCGCCACACAGTGGCTTCATCAGTCCATACAAAGGAGAATCGTGAAGAACAGGAGAAGAATGAGGTAATCAGTCCCTCAACCTTCTTGAGTCGATGTGGTCAGTCCATCAATCTTGAATAGAATACAGCATATGTGCCAAGAAGTAATTTATATACAGTAGGCAGGAGAGGTGCAGCAGGTGTACGTGGTGTCACATTTGTTCAATGTGGAAGTAGGTCGTGCCCAAGGGTTAGGCAAGCGAAGAATTCCCAAGTATTAAGATCCCAAGAAGTTGCAGTGTCTGATAGACACTGCATCCTCACATCTGACATGGGCAGAGATGTCAGCCACAGCACCATATCCTCCTTTGTTGATGACAGTGTCATCCCTCGAAGACACTGCAAATCTCCAAGCGGACATCAACCAAATCTTTAAATGGGTCGCAGAAAACAGTGTGAAGTTCAATGAAGAAAAATTTAAATTACTCCGCTATGGAAAACTCGAGGAAATCAAAACTGTATCAGAGTATAAAACAAATTCCAACCATACAATAGAGCGAAAAACTGATGTGAAGGACCTGGGAGTGATAACGTCAGAGAATCTCACTTTCAAAGATCACAACAATATATCTACCACATCTGCTAGAAAAATGATAGGATGGATAATGAGAACCTTCAAAACTAGAGATGCCAAGCCCAAAATGGTTCTCTTTAAATTGGTTGTTCTCTCTAGGCTGGAATACTGCTGTACACTAACTGCCCCCTTCAAGGCTGGCGAAACTGTTGACCTTCAGAATGTACAGAGAACTAAATTACTGGGAACGGTTGAAGTACCTTGATTTGTATTCCCTAGAACGCAGGCGAGAGAAATACATGATAATATACACTTGGAAAATCCTAGAGGGACTAGTCCCAAATCTACACACGAAAGTAACTCCCTACGAAAGCAAAGGAATTGGCAGGAGATGCTACATTTCCCCAATGAAAAGCAGGGGCGCCACGAGTACGCTAAGAGACAACACAATAAGTGTCCGGGGCCCAAGACTGCTCAACTGCCTCCCAGTATACATAAGGGGGATTACCAATAGACCCCTGGCTGTCTTCAAGAAGGCACTGGACTGAACCTAAAATCAGTACGTGACCAGCCGGGGAGTGGTTCGTACGTCGGTTTACATGTGGCCAGCAGTAACAACCTGGCTGATCAGGCCCTGATCCACCACGAGGCCTGGTCAAGGACCGGGCAGCGGGGGCTTTGACCCCCGAAGCACACTCCAAGTATACAGGTACAAACCTGATCAGAACCTCTTAGTGAGTGAGAGAGAGAGAGAGAGAAGAGAGAGAGAGAGAGAGAGAGAGAGAGAGAGAGAGAGAGAGAGAGAAAATGCAAGCAAGCATTTTTTCCTCTCAAACAGCAACTACACTCTGACTGTAACTTCCTCCAGAACATCGTGTCATCTGAGATCATTTATTCCCAGGATGACTCAAGTCTGGAACAATGTTCGTACAGTAATAACATCAGCGGAATAAAGACAGTTAACCAAATGAAATCTCTGGCCCACAGATGGCTCCAACTTCATCCTGTACCATACTGGTTTATCTCATAATAAAAAGGCCTTCAAATGAGCTGATTTAGGTAACATCTCTTAGCTTGTAAATAAAGTTAGGAACCCTGACCTAACCTTGTTAAACCCTGTGTAAAAAACCCGAGCATCGCCATCAGCGCCTAGTGGTGTTGGAACCACAATTTTAAAATAACTAGAGGAAAGTTAATATTCCAGAAAACTAAGATATATAAGTAATGTTTCAGAGTACATACGGAAGGTGGTGGAGTCTGGTCCAGGAGACTCAGTCAGAGGTTGAACTGGAGGCCTCTTTGTGCTTCCCTCGACCTGTGGACATCAATATGTTTTACACACACATAAGTATAGACACGTATAAATATTCTTCCTCGAAGCCTTTTTATCCACTTCTCCGAGGCTGTGGGTACCAGAATTTGCACTGGAGGTGTGGACTCCATCATGTATATATATATATATAATATATATATAATATATATATATATATATATATATATATATATCTCCATGGGTAAGTGGAACAGAATTCTTCCTCCGTAAGCCATGCGTGTTGTAAGAGGCAATTAAAATGCCGGGAGCAAGGGGCTAGTAACCCCTTCTCCTGTATATATTACTAAATGTAAAAGGAGAAACTTTTGTTTTTCCTTTTGGGGCACCCTGCCTTGGTGGGATACGGCCGGTTTGTTGAATATATATATATATATATATATATATATATATATATATATATATATATATATATATATATATATATATATATATATATATATATATATATATATATATATATATATGACCTATAAGCTGACACATGACCCAGCAAGTTGAGAGTGGGAGTGTAAATGAATCTAGTTTATATAACACTGAACTAATATTCATATTAAAATCAAAACTATCTTTATGAGAAACTTGATTCAATTATATTTCTTTCAACAATAAAGTTGATACAACTTTCTCGGACTTTTGAAAATCAATGGGATGGTTAAAATCTCTCACAAGAATAAACAAAGCATTAAAGTCTTGTCCAGTTCTAATGTTATATTTATGTTGTTGTAATCTTACTTAAAGACTTTTCCCAGTTTGACCGTAATAAAATTTATTTCATTTTTTTACAGTGAATCTTATAAACACAAAAGTCAGCATTTTTTTTTTTGGGAGGGGGAGGGGGGACTTCTCAATCAATTTTTTTTTTACATTATCAAGATTTTTAAATGATTTTTATTTTAAAATTCTTAACTAGAGATATATGAAAGTTTTCCTGGTTTGGGGGAACCAACAAACTTTTGGTTACATATATTTTTTTGGTCCTTTTTTGCATTGTAAAATGTATTTCTGATGGTTTTAAAAGATTTGTCAATTAAATTTTTTGGATATTTTAGATCATTCACTATTTCATATGTATTATTATAATCATGGGGGGAGCGCTAAACCCGTAGGATTATATAGCGCCTGAGGGGGATATGGAAGGTATTCAGGGTTAATTCAGGGAACTGGAACACAGATCCAATTCCCTAGATCAAGAGCCCTTCACCAGCATCAAGGAACCGTCCTTGATGCTGGTGAATATCTTCATATATAAACTCTGGGCTACAAATACACAAAATTCTGACACCTAGACGAGAATACAGAAAGTCTAACTCTGTCATGACGTGAGAAAAACCCAACAAATAACTGCTCTCATGTGCACGATTAATCTTCACATCACAACAGAGTTAAACTTTATGTATATTCATCCATGTTAATGAGCCATAATTGTTAATAATGTCGTACATACAGGAGGAGGAGGGCGGGTGGTGAGGGAGACTGGTGGTGTTGGGGTGCTGGTCTTCTCTGGCTTGATACTGTAATAATTTAAATGTATCAAAATAAAAATAATATAATCATTATTTTATAGGGTTATATCATTGTTAATATAAATAATAATACTGAGAGCATCTGGTATATATTAGCTAGGCTGCCCAGTTTTTTTGGGGCCCAGTATGTTTACACTTCATATTTATTAGTAATATTCATAGATACGGGCTATAAAATCATATTATTTTTGACTAGGTTATGCTATGGAGATCAGGGAAGGTTGCTAGAGTATATTGGTGACTGTAGGGGACTTTTTTATGAGAATTTTGGATTTTAAATGAGGGGTGTGTAAGTTTTGTCAGGTGGAAGAGGAACAATATTTTACTTAGCTATTTTTTGAGATGTGACTCTGCTATGGAAGGAGGATCAAATACTAGTAGGATTCTCTGATGCTCATAGTGTAGTTTTTAATAAAACTTAGATTTCAATAATGTATGGTTACAGAGACATTTAGGATTTTTGTAACTTGGGTATACATTTTTTGGGGACAAAAATATATTTTATTGTCTTCATAGGTTTACTTTGTACATATTAAAGATGTTAAAAATATTCTTGTTATTTTATCAATGGCTAGGGAGCTAGTAATTAGCTACTTCATTGTTATTTGGAAAATTTTGTGAAGGATAAGATGTAGGGAGTGAACGAGACCGCGGCAGTACGACTAGAGGCAGCCTGAGGGGAGGATGTATTGGTCTTTGCTCTGGGTTTGCATCCCGTTGTTTCTGCTAGGGCGAAGTTAACAGTGTATCAGTCCTGATGTGTGAGGAGCAGGTAAAGAGAAGCTAAAGACTAAGATATGAGTATCCAGTAGACGACTAATACAGTAAGGCAAGGAGAGAGGAGTTATGTTGATTCTAACCTTGGGTCTAAATTCTTAAAGAATATTGCCAACAAGTTAGATTATTAGAGAATGATTACTGTGTTTCTAGAAGAGGCAACTTATTGTACCCAATAATTGTATTTGTCATTTTTTTTTTTGGGGGGGGGGATTATAATTGAGCAAATTTTGACTGGGTTTTCATTTCCTCTTATTATGGTTATTAAATTTGTCTTATAACTTATTTATTACATTTGGTGGCAGTTATCATGCATTATTTATGTATGTTTATTTATATTCCTCATTCTTGACTTAAATTAGTTTCTGTATTATATTCTTTCCACCATTTTCATTGTTTTTTAAACCCATTTATTACTCAACCCTCGTTACCTTTGCTCAACTTTCATTTTTCAAACCGTTATGTCTATTTTGTTAAATATAAGATAAATCCTGCTACAGTATGCATGTAAATAACAGAATTGATGCTATCTATATATTGCAGAAACAAATTATCATAATTTTAGGTCAAAGTTTCTTTCTAAACTGCATTTTAGTTGGTTAATTTATCAGAATCGTAATGTTGCTTATGCGGAAAATTTTGACATATTATTACTTAAAAAGTTTTAATAAATCCATAATTAGTTATGTATTAAATGTCGTGAGGAACAGGACTTAAAAAGTTTTAATAATCCATAATTAAATATCAAATGTTGATAGAACGGCTTACAGAGTTTTAATAATCCATAATTATTTGTATCAAATGTTGAGAGAAGCGGGAAATAAACTGAGGCTTCGAGGTGACTTACTCGAGACCGGAGGCGGGGCAGCAGACGCCAGGCACGAAGAGGCTCTTGAAACAGACGGACTTGCGGAGGTTAGTGAGGTCGAGGATAAGGTCAGGACAGTCGCTGAGGTCCATGCAGTAACCTTGCTCTCCCGCCGGTGTAGTGCACTTCCGCAGCGAGTCGCCTTCTCCGTCTCCGACCCTGGCAGGTCGATCACTATACGACCGTCACCGAAGGAGACTGCAGGGAAAGTTTGTCCCACCGTGTTAGAAACGGATTTGGCCAGCGGTGCCATTGCTTCAGTCAGATTTTGTCCTATGAGACGTGTCGAAATTTCGTAGGCAGTATTGTCGACCATGTGTGTTAGCGCCTCCCCCACCGTTCTCACTGGGGGAGAGTTGTATTGTGTTGAGTACACACTGTCACCGTACTGGGGGTATTGGTCCTGGTTATAGTCATACTGGGACATTACGTAGTCGTGGTAGTCGTTAGTGTTTTGGTCTGTGTCAGCATGTTGGGGTGAGTTGAAGCGGCTAATAGCACTAGCTAGTGTGTTAATACTACTACTGATGCCGCCTTGGATGTTATTAGCAATGTTCTTGACACGCTTGTGGCGTCGCTCCCCCAGCACCCTCGACCCCAGCTTGTCGATGCCTTTGGCCGTCGATCTGGAGACCACCTGAGCGCCACGCTGGATGCCCTTCTCTAAGGCATCAATGCCACGGTTGATGTAGGGAACGGCTGCGTTGCTCATCTCCACCAGGCGGTCCTCTATAGCCGGCACAATGCGGGTGGTGACCACCTGCGCCGTGGCCTGCAGGCTCTCTGCGGTCTTGAGCGCCACCTTGTTGCTAGCTTTTAAGATGGCCTTGCCAATGCTGGGGGCGACGTCTTCTGTGATGCGTTCGGCAGCGTAGCGTACCCCAGGCACGAAGTGTTGGTCGAATGTGGACCCCAGAGTGTATAGTCCCGTGCTGAGTGAGTGTCTCATGTGGTGCAACATGCTGCCCAGGGGCACTGCAACACCACCACGCGTCAACACTATTCACAACCCAGCCTCCCTCTGTGTAGGCACGCGCGTGTGTGGCTCACTACTTCAACACCAGAACATACTGCCTCTTATTGAAGTATATACAATATTTTTAACGACAAGCAACTACATAACGTATTTTACCAGTTAATTATTGGTATGAGCCATACACACCCGCGCCTCTACCATTGTTGCCACAAGGAAACTTGACCAGCTCTGCAGGAGTAAATTTCACCTCACTCTCACTTAACACTACCTTCTTGCATTATCATAATATAAAAAAATTGCAAGATAAAATAAATATTAATATGCTTAATTTTTTTATACAATATTCTCAGTAATTTGTTTATTTTCTCCTGCAAGGCTTTTTTAAATGACCTCTCTTCCGTAGTCTCTAACTGCCTTCATAACACTTAACTGGCCACTAAGTTGCATATCTTTAAAGGTTTTGTAAGCTGTGTTAGATACCCTTCTGTGGGCTCATGATCCAAGAAATTGAAGCAATCTTCCCCTTCCTCGGCTCAAACCAAATTGCCAGGAACTTTGTAGCCCCTACTATGGATATAATATAATTATAACAGGTGACCAGGGAGTTATAGTGAAGGCTGGAAGATGAGCTAACGGGCCTATAGAAGCCGACATGCTCTGCAAGTTCATGTCTATTGAAATGATGTCAGAACTGATAATTTTTCACTTGAACACATATGTGAATTCAAACTTCAGAGCTTCATAAACTACATACAAGATAAAAGTCATTTATGGAATGATATCGTTTTGTAATAAGAATTTGTGCAACTTTACCTTCATAATAGTATATGTATATTATTTTTCAGTAAACATGAACTTTCGTATCATTACGCCATATAATGATTTTTTCAAAATAAATTATATACAAGTTAGAGATATAATTCAGTGTTTCTAAATGTATATACAAATGCTTGTTATTACTATGATAGGCTCCATATAAACATTCAGTTAGAATAAAATACCTTGTTCATTCCCTATTTTTCAATGTATACTCAATATATTACGGTTATCTTTTGATTTTTGTGTACAAGATATATACACCAAGAAATGTATTTCTCTCGCCAATATATATGTTGAGTTTAATTTCTATTTTAGGTATTAAACTATTCTTGACTGGTTGTGAAAAGGTTGCAGCCGTAATGACCCTAGTATAATTGATAAGCTTTAAACCCCATCAACCAACCAATTATCTATGTATTGTTAATTTTGATTAGTAAAAGTGAAACTAGTATTTCGGTTTTAATTAGTAAAAGCGAAACTAATATTTCGTCAGTTATTCATGCCACATGCACTGAAGAACCCATGGTAGACTGTAGAAGATTTTAAGTTGTCCAAGTAGTCTGTCAGTGAATGGTTTAGCGCTTCATTTTTTATTATAATTGTCAGTTAGTCTAACTTAACGTAAACTGCAACTAAAACAGTATGTCTTGCTGAATAGGTTTTGTCGTCATCAGTTTCTAACATTGTAATTTACATGAAAAATGCAGTCAGGTTATCACTGTAACAGATTTAAACTTATTACGTAAAAGAACATTGAATATTTACAAGGTAAAAAATGAAACCAAGTTCATATAGAAGGAACCTGGCAATTGTTATTCTAGCCTACCTATCGTGTTTGAATTGAATGTTGATTAAAAGATATAAACTAACTAAATTTTCCTAACTGGGTATTCACTTCTAATGCAACTAAATTTATATTGTTTTCCTAACTGACCGGTTCTTAAAAAAATCATTGTGCCTCATTTCTAATACAACCAAGTTTACACAACTTTCCCACCTTAAATATTACAGTTTTACAAACTTACATAAAAATCCCGTAGTTCCTTATTTGTAATACAACCAAATTTACGGTGTTTTCCTAATTACACCTTGTCCTAACTTACATAAAAAATTCTTAACCTGTAGCAAAGCCTGTTAAGTGTTTTACAGTTTGACTTCAGTGTTGTCCAACTTTGGAGATACATACATGAGGTGTATTTCTCTCAGCGTGTATACATGTATATCCTATATCCTGTGAGTTTACTTGTGGGGAAAAAGGTTACTTGCATCCTTAATGACCGTCGTGTAGTCGATAGGCTTTAAACCTCATTAACCAACCAGTCTTGTTTAGTATTTAATATTAATTTCAACTGAATGACAGAACAGTAAAATATTCCTACTAAATCCAAAAATACATAGAATTGATGAGCTAACCCTCTCTTCCTAACCTGGTATATTTTCGTCTTCATTTTCTAAAGTACTATTGAGTTTTAAAAGTCCAAAATGATCCAAAGAATGGACATATGGCTTCCTTCCTGGAATTGAACCAGATTATATCCCAGTACTGGGTATTATATGATCCCTTCGGGCTTAGCGCTTCCTCAGGATAATATTAATAGACATTCATTTAGATGTTCTAAAATCCGTAGAGATCATTCAGCGCCTTGGAAAAGGGAGATAATCAGGTTTGATTCAAGGAAAGGGAGGTTACTTCCAGTTCCTCGGATTAAGAGCCTTTACTATTATGAAATAATAGAAAATACACAATCAGTAGTAAATTACAAGTCAGGGAGGATAAACGTCATGTTGGGTCCCGCCCGGCGGTGGCGCGGCCTGGCTTTACCAGGCAAGTAAGTTCTCCTGTCCTCTAATAACCTGTTCATTTTTCCACTATAATCTACCTTGCCCATAACTACTATCGCATTTACTTTGTCTGTTTCGTAAAGTGAAGTCCAGGATTTTTCCTTAATTCATGGTATAACTTTACAAATCTTGGAGGATAATTGTGTTGCAGAGGTGTGAGCAAAGCTCACACCTCTGCAACACAGTTGTCAAGTTATACCATTAATTAAGGAAAGATCCTGGACTTCACTTTACGAAACAAACAAAGCAAATGCGACAGTAATTATGGACACGGTAGATTATAGTGGAAAAATGAACATGTGACTATTAAGTTCATCTTCACTGATGTATTTTGTGTTTAATTTAATTATATTAGTATTATTATTCACGAACGTATTCGTTTATCCGCGCCAATTGTAGTATCTAAGCGAATATTTAAACACCAGGCTTCGGGGATCAAGTCTTATACGGTACAAGCCTTCATAGCCTAAAAAGCAGCAAGAACAACCATCTTTCCGTCCTGGCGACAGGTTAGCGACATTAGAGTTCCTATCCTCAACGGCTCTTGTTTTAACCCAGATATTCGTGTCCATATTATACGTGCTGCCTATGTGAATAAAACACGATATGCCGTTTATGGCATTTATTGTATGGACTGATAGTCTCGGGTATACGAAATGCTTCGTTAAATCCCGTAAACCCCATATCGTTTCTTGTTCACATGCTTGTTGGTATATTTCACTAGTGATATACGTGCTACGTATTCCTTCTGCACCACAGGCAGGTTGGGCGGTATCTAAGCGCAAAGTGCACGATAAATTAAACACCAACCCTCTGAGAATAGTGTACTCCGACTAATTTTTTTTTCTTTTTGGTGCTCATATAATTCATTTTCATGTATCTGCTTTACTGAGTTTATTTGCACTTGATTACTCAAATGTGTCTTTTTATTAACAATCATGACGTATTTTTGACTGTCTAATAGGGCCCAATTTCAACGATTGTTGAATTTCAAATCGGGTCTATCTTTTTGAAACACCTTGTAGTTTTGCTGCTAAACGTAAGGTATCACAACGTTTACAAGTAGTTTACAAGTTACTATGTAAGACAATGTGATCATCCAAAATTGTGTAAAATTGTACCTAAATGACTTGCGTACTTTAAAAGCAACAGCAGGTTGATGTGGCATTGCTTGTGCCTTCCTCAAAGCTTCGGGAAGTTAGTGAACTTTAGCTGTGCTCTCCAGTCCTCTTGTATATCTTATTCCATCTACTATAGGGATTACCACTTTTCCCACAGTCCTCCCGTGATTGAGAACTTAATTAATCCTCGGGAGGTAGGGTTTAATACGGCTCACGCAGTGGTGGCCTTTAATAACACCAACATACGGCATAAAGCGTCGTTACCCTTAAAAAGCAACAGCAACAATCATCTTAACAGCTTAGGTTAGGTAAGGTTCGTCAGGAAACATGGCAAGTGCTTCCTGACTCGGGTCTTAAATCTTCACAGTTGGTGACACATTTGTCGTGCTGCTCACTGCGTTCACATGTATCTCGCCTGAAAGACCTCGGATACAATCCATAAGCCAGGAAGCAGATGGGTAAGTTTTCTTATACATCTTCCCCAGCTCGTTTATTAGTAAAAGGAGACACCTGTCTAGGAGAAAACAGGGCAGTGTGCTGTCCACGACCTGCCTAGCATGGACAAATAAGCCTACTGTAGTGTTCCACTGTTCTTGCATTGTGTTCCGCTTTCGGTCTACAAATTCCTCTCTGAGAAATGATCGCATAGTTTTTTCAAGAAAAAAAATGGCAGATTGTATTTATTTAAATTTTAAGGAAGCCTTTGATAAGAGTTCTCCATGAGAAACAAATTTAGAAAACTTTAAAACATAGGAGTAATTAAGGAGAGTGAACAAAAAACGTCACCGTAAGAAAATATAAAAGAAATTGTGAGGAAACTCGTATCTTGCGCTAGGCAAATATTAAATAGGTTACGAGTGATGGAAATGCTGTAAAAAAAAAAAAAAAAAAAAAAAAAAAATAAAATGTATTTGGCCAAATCTGAAATATGCATCCTTTGTGCGGTGCCTACACCTTAATAACAAAGATATGTTAGAAAAAAAGGAAAACAACAAAATAGCTTCCAGACTAATAAAAATACAAATTTTAATAAAACTGAAAGCATTGAAGTTGTCCACGCTGGCTGGTACGAGTAAAATAGTCTACGAGGTAATCCTATGTAAGGTCATATAAAGACGTGAAGGAATGGATCAGGGAGATTTAGTACCTGCAACAGATAATAGGAGACCACATTTGTAACTTTAGGAAAAAATGGAACCGATGGGGTGCTAGATAGAAAAACTTTCTTCACAGTGGTTTACCTATAGAATTAAGGAGGTAAGAAGGCGCCAGTCACTGGTCGTGTATAAAATTATGATAAATTATTGAAGTCGAAGATGCCACGAGCATAACTGCTTCTGTAGCTACAAAGTGTTAATTACATAGGTAATTCATCTATCTCTCTCTCTCTCCCCCTCATACACACCAAGTAACTACTTACACAGCTGTCTTTTTCCTCTGGCAGGATCTGCTTCTGCTTCTGCGTCCGGGTGTGGAGCAGCCTCTGGGAGCGCCCACACGCCTTCGCACGCCCACACCAACACTACTGCCACCCACACACACGCCCGCATGGTTCTGCAAACAAGAAAGCAGGTGAGTTTCTCCAGTCTGGCAGCCAGAGGTCCGGGTGAGTTGATGATGACGCCTTGTTAATAAACGTTATTGTATATTAATTCTTCTTATTCGGTTAGGTTAATTAAGCACCGTTAAATTTGGGTAATAGCTAGGTGGGTGACTTTGGCTAGAAGATCTCTTTCTGAAAAGGATATATTTTATCTGGTCACATGAACTTTCTCCCTCCCCCCTCTTAATGAAATTCTTAAGATTTTTCATTTGTATGTCTTGCACTCTAGCTTGACGTTCAAATGAAAAATAGGAATAAGTAAAGGGGATGTAAATATTGTGCTGAAAGTATGTAACCAAAACAGGACTCAAGGTAGTGGATTAAGTTGGACAAATTTAGGTTGACAGGATATAGGGGGGTATAAGGTTGACCCTAGAGTGGAACGAACTCCCAGGTTGCGTCATTGAGACAAGAACTGTGGATAGTTTTAAATATAGGTTAGACGAGTATAATAAATGGGTGTGACTTGTATGAGCCAATGGGCCCAATAGTGTTCCTTCATTTGTAAAGTCTAAGAAGGTTAGATTAGGTTGCTAGGTTAGTTATGGTGTAAAATAAAAGAAAAAATGACAAAAAATTTACATAACTAGGATAATTTTTTTTTTTGGGGGGCGGGAGGAGAGAGATTGTAAAATTTCAGGTCAGTTATCTTCTTTTTTCACATATTTGTTAAATAATATGAATTATGCTTCACATAATGGCTTATTTATTCCATAGTTTCACAGGGAAGGATCCTTGAGGCTTTTGATGCAAGGAATTGGAGTTCTCTGATAAAATCTTATTGCGTCCCATTTCTCCAGTGGTGTTTTAACCCTACTGGGCTAGGTTAGGTTAGGTAATAGTAGTAGTGGTGGTAGGTTCGCCGGTGTTGTCTCGGTTCCAGTCTTTTCCAGTTAGTAAGGTTTGTCAGGAAAGAGGACGAGTGTTTCCAGACGCGGGTTTTCTAAGTCATATGATGACCCACAGCTGGAGCTTTTGGTCATCCGACCGAGGCTTACCTCTCCACCCCTTTGAAAGTTTTAGTTATGATTAGCACTTCCCCACGAATATATTGATATTGATTATAACCCAAGGCGACATAGACTTGCGGCAGTTTGTGTCAAGCGCTTACACCTGCCCGTGAGATGTTTGTGTATGATTTGTGATGTGAACACCATGTTAAGTTGGAGGTAGTTTATGATGATACTTTGTATTATTATTTAATGACTATCTTTGTGTTATCGCCGCCGCCACCAAACACACCATCTCAAATATCGTCATAATTATTACCACCATCACCCTCCTCACCATAATTATTACCACCATCACCCTCGTCACCATAATTATTACCACCATCACCCTCGTCACCATAATTATTACCACTCACCCTCGTCACCATAATTATTACCACCATCACCCCCGTCACCTTCTTCTTATGACCAGAGCTTTGGTAAGATGGGTAAGGATAGAAATATTGGAAAAGGGTGGGAGGGAAGAGAGGTTCGAGGTTCTGACCAGAGCTTTGGTAAGAGGGGAGGGGGGGAAGAAGGATGGGTAAGGATGGAAGTTTGGGAAAGGTTGGGGGGGGAGGAGGGGTAGGTGGGGTTATAAAAGGGTAGTGGCCTATCCACTTTGGTGTAATTTGAATATGCGTGTGTGCATATTGAGTGATTTATGAAGAGGTTGGTTATATGAGTAGGGTATACCTCCTGCCCATAAATTTCGCAATGCTATATTGTGTTATACCAGTGCGTCATTGAATTGGAAGGATGCATACTGCATAGAATTGCTTGCTGTTTTTTTTTTTCCGCAAGAGGTTGGTCAGGAGGCGCAGCTGCAGGCGAGGGTTGCCGGGCATTCGATGGAGGTTGGTTGCTCATCTGGAGTCGGCCAGCAAGGCAGTGACTGATGTGGTGTCCTGCTGTATTGAAGTAGTAGGTGCAACGAGGTCAGTTGTGAGGTGTTGGTTGATAGAAGTGGGTCACCAGGAGATGGGGGGCGCTAGTCCATGTTACTGGACATAGAATGGTTCCGGTGGTATCCATTCTTCGTCTTCGGGGAGGTCGCTTAAGATTTTGGGACGAAGGAAGTTCTCCTTGTGGATAAAGCGTCGAACTCTTTGTTGGAGGGTCATTCTTTGGGATCTGTGGGGAAGGGTGGTGATGGTATAGTCGGTTGTGTTCGCTGGTTGAGGGGGATTCTCTCTGTCAGGCATGTAGAGTTCCTGCATGTCTTAGTAAGTTTGTCTAATCGGACGTTGATTGCGGGGATTCTCTGTTGTATGTGTAGGTCCTCTGATCTGATTCTGTCTCTGAGTCCGGTGTTCGTGATGAAGCGGAGGGCTTTGTTTTGGACTCTGGAGTTTTAGCATGTTGGTTTTGGTTGTGAGCGACATGGGTAAGCAGGGGTATTCCAGCAGAGGTCTGATCATCTTGTACAGGTGTAGTTTGATGTGGGGAAGGGCTGCTTTGAATCGATAAAGTTGGCCAAGGCGGGTTTTTGCTAGGTTTACCTTTTTGGTTATGTTGGTTGTAGAGTTGAGTAATCTGCCGATCTCGTAAAGGTGTATATGGAATAATAAGATATTCTTGAAGGGGTATAAGACTAACCCATCAGAGTCACATAGATACAACAGATATATAAGTACATGACTCTGAATTGGTAGTAAATATACAAGTTGTAATTGCCTTTTTTTTTTTTTTTTTTTTTTTTTTTTTTTTTGCGATTGCACAACGGATATTTAAGCGACAATGAAGGCAGTAATTTCCTGGCCAGTTTATAAAGAATTACTTGACAATGGCTTCTTACAGGTGGTGTCCCGCCAGAGTAAATTTAGCATAATTTTTTTTCAGTAGAATGTTATATAAGATGTCTCCCTAATTGGGGGCGATGATTTTCTAAGTAAACATAGAAGGGTTCTGGTGTTACCCAATCATCTTCATCTGCAGGGAGGTTGCTCAATATCATTGGTCGATGGTAATCATCTTTATGGATAAAACGACGGACCCTCTGTGGGAGAGTCATTCTTTGAGTCCTGTGAGGACTCAATTTGTAGAGGACTTCAATTTGTAGAGGATGTTCTCTATCTGGCATGTAGAATTCTTGCATTGCGTAGAGTTGTTTCTTTTTCAGGGTGTCAAGGCGTACATTTAAGGCAGTAATATCTTGTTGTACGTGTAAATCTGCCATTTTAACTCTGTCTCTCCTCCTGGTACCCGTAATAAAGCGAAGAGCTCTATTCTGGACCCGTTGCAACCGTAGCATGTTGGTCTTTGTTGTTAATGTCATTGGGACACATGGGTATTCTAGTATAGGTCTTATTATCATTTTATACAGATGTTTTTTGACATGTGGAGGGGCTTGATTGAATCGAAAGAGACTGCTAAGACCGGCTTTGGCTATGTTGATCTTTTTAGTTACATGAGATGTTGAGTGGAGCAGCCTGTCTATTTCATATCCCAAGATCTTGTTAGGGTTTCTAATGGCTACAGGTGTACCTCTGATGGAGATACCCCTTTATCTTCGATGGTTGATGCAAAACATCCTATCGTGCTAACAAGGACTTTGTCAGGATTAGTCGTAATTCTCCATTTCTTTTCCCAATTAGATGTTCGACGAAGTTCAATATACATTTTTTCTATGACTCTCTCATACTTGTATTTTCCTGTTACCGGAGTTGATGAGACGAAATGGATAACATCATCTGCAAACTGTGTTATAATTGTATCATTAAACTCTGGTTGAGGAAGGTCATTCACATAAATGTTGAAGAGAATTGGACTAAGACAAAAACCTTGTGGGACACCAGCTGTTGGTATGAAAGGCTCTGTCGACCTGCCATGAAAGGTGGGAATGATTTTTCTTTGAGTTAAGAAATTATATATTAATCTGAGAAAAGTCCAGTTATGGTCTGGTAGGTCAATGAGTTTGTATATAAGACCATCATGCCATAAGCTATCAAAAGCTTTATGAACATCTCTGGAGGCAATTAGGGCAAGATTGCCCTGATGTTTTAGACTTGCTACAGTATCGAAAATAATATTTATTGCATGATGGGTACCTCTGTGTGTTCTAAAGCCAAATTGTTTTTCAGTAAAAAGGTGATTAAACTCCATATAGTAGTTCAGTCTGTTGGAAATGATCTCAAGAACTTTTCCAGTGACTTCAAGTAAAGATGTAGGTCTATAGTTCCCTGGTTGGTGGATGTCTTTATTGGGCTTAGCAAGAAAGATCATCCTAGCAGTCTTAAAAACCACTGGAAAATGTCCTGAGGCCAAGATGGCATTAAAGATATTAACCAAAGACTGTTTACAATTTCTGGGTAGGAACTTTATTTGTTTCATTGTTATTCCAGAGATACCAGGGGCTCTATTTCGCATTCTTCCAATAACCTGTCTCATCTCGAGTAATGTAATAGGTCCAGTAAGCGGGTGGGCGTCTTCAAGAGTTGATGTATCGATAGAAGGTAGTGGTTGTAGATCATCTAAGTTCTCATCTCTCCATTCATTTACCAACTGATAATGATTATTGTTAAATCGACGACTGTTATTGTGGGAGAGAATTTTCTCCCATACATCACCCATCAAATTAGCCTGGTCCTGTGGATCATCAAGTTTAATCTCAACATCTTCATCATCCTCATCAGTGAAGGTATGAATTAGGTAGTTAGGAGCCTTGTGCTTTGCCCCTAACAGTTGTCGGATCTTACTCCAAAATTTTGCTGGCTCATGTTTATACTGATTAGCTTGGAGAACTAGCAATTTCCATAAGTCACGTTTGTGATGACTAATCATGTTAATTAATTCTTGCCTCAATCTGTGCAATGTAGCTACTTGTGGTTGTCGCGTTTGAAGATGCCTTCGACATTCTGCTTGATAATTCCTTAAAGCGTCTCTAATTTTCCTAGTTGGTTTATATTGTTGATAGATCTTTGTGGAAGCTAATTGACAAGTTGCATTAGTAGCTTCAATTA